GTGTGTGTGTGTGTGTGTGTGTGTGTGTGTGTGTGTGTGTGTGTGTGTGTGTGTGTGTTTATGGGTTTGCTTGTATTTATGTATGGATTTTAAATAAATAATTCTAGAAGTGTATCTTCACTTAGCCTGCAGGGGTTTGTAATGATTACATTATGCATATTGATTTCCAAATTCAAGTATATAATAAGCTAAGATTCATCTTTGAATGTATTGTCTATAGAATATTCATTCAAGACTTAGTAATGTTTTCTGCATATTCTGTAATGTTTGTAAGAAATGGAAACCATTTTCGGTGTAGAATTATAATTTTGAAGATTCTGTTTCACACATTTTTTACTTTGACTTTTTCCACATTACCTAGCACATTCCAACAAACTGACACTTGCCCTGTGGCTAATGTCCTTGTATTCACTATTATCCACGAACAAAAAAATCATATGAACAGATTATGATTATGTTTGTATGGACATCTCTATTTTTAATCTGTTTTTAAAAATTAAAATGACAGCTTTATCAAGTCTTTTTAGTATATTTTTAACCTAGTCAAATATATTAGAAATAATCTTAAAAACATTAGATATCAAATCAGTGTGATCCGTCACTTTTCTGGGGTTAGGAGATCCTATTAATACATCTTAGAGAAGAAATGTTTAAACAGGGATATAACCTATTATCCTGAATATTAGATGTGCATACATTCAAATGTATTTTAATGGAAACTTTTAATACTATAGAATTAAGAAGTAACTTACAGAGAGACTAATTACTTCCTCAAAGATCTTAGGATACGATTTTATTTATTTTTTTAAGATTTTATTTTTTTGTGAGAGAGAGAGGAGAAACACAAGAGGAGGCAGGGGAACAGAGGGAGAAGCAGGCTCCCCGCTGAGCAGGGTGCCTGATACGGGACTCGATCCCAGGACCCTGGGATCATGACCTGAGCCGAAGGCAGACGCTTAATCAACTGAACCACCCAGGCACCCAGGATACAACTGTATTTTTAAGAAGAAATTTGCTTTGTGGGAAGTCAAAGGATTATAGAAGTAAGAGATTATAAAAAGAAAACCTTTAAGTAAGAAAATTATTTTTTTAATAATTTCAATATCATTCCTCTCACAGATGTCTGAAAAATCAATTTACTGCCTTTTATACAAAAGATACCCCAAATATTAGATAGCTAGAGTTGGTCGAGAAATTGTGGGGAAAATAATGACAAAAGAACACCAAATGTGTGTTTAAATTTTAGGATTATAGAATAAATTCTTTTCATACACATATGCAATTATGAAGAGGGAAAGATTGCAAGGAACTTTATTTTAGAGGGCATGTGGGGCTTAAAGAGCAAAATCCGGAAGAATATTGACAGAAACAATGCTTGGGGTAACAAATGGAATTGGAAATACCTTTGGCATCAGCAGAAATAAGCTTTCAATATTCCTATCTGATGTCAAAATAACCTGTGTGGCTGATGCTTTCTTAAAAGCATGAGAGGGAAGTGGAGAACTCAAAAACGGACCCTGCTTTAATTAGGAGCAACCATCAAGAAGAGGCAGCTATTTAAAATGAAAAGTGAAGGGCATAATGTTGCTTGTTTAAATATTACAATATCATGAGGAAGTTTAAGCCAGATGACTAGTGCAGTTAATGTCCATAGGAAAATCTAAGACTTTCAAAGAAAAGCAGAAAACTACATCTGATCAATGTAGGCTTTGTATAAGGCTTATTACCATTTGTTCTCAGTCTAAGGGAGAGAGCCTCCATATTTTTATTTCTTCTATGAATTGATCTTTGACTCACTCTGTGCCAGCCCATAAAGTTAATGCATTCTTTTTTTAAAAAAAATTTCTTTATTTATCTTACTCTTGCAGAGTGACATTTCACTTTTTCATGTTTTAGCTAAATAAGCCACATAAGCAATTTAAAAAAAAACACTGAATTTTAAGCAATTTTTTTCCTTTGCTTTCTCTTTCAGGAAGTTGATGGCAATAAAGTTATGTCTTCATTTGCCCCACACAACTCATCTACCTCACCTCAGAAGGCAGAAGAAGGTGGGAGGCAGAGTGGTGAGTCCTTGTCCAGCACGGCCCTAGGAACTCCCGAACGGCGCAAAGGCAGCTTAGCTGATGTTGTTGACACCTTGAAGCAGAGGAAAATGGAAGAGCTCATCAAAAATGAGCCAGAAGGTAAAGGCTAGAAAAGGAAACAAAGTGCTTGCCATCTCCTGATTTTAATAGTCGGATTTTAACTTATAGTTGTTTTTTGACGTATACTCAAAGCTAAATTGGACAAAATGGAAACCTAATGCTATGAAGATGGAAAGGTTTTTATTTTTTTCAGAAACATTTCAATATGTCTGTCCCAATTTTTTAATCATTAATTTCTGTTGTGATGTCTTCCTCATTTTCACACATGGGTAAGTTGTGGTTGAGTAAAACTTAAAGATTCAAGAATAGAATGTGACAGTGGAGCCCAGAATAGGTACCACCTACATCCCAAATATCTGCAGGCTCGTTGTTCATCTCCAGTTTTTGTCCCCAAGGCCATTTTGCAACTTGATTAAATTGTGTATAGCCTTATTTATACATGAATGCATTTTATGCTCCCTTAGTTCAGTCCATTTCTTGTATAGTCCAAAATTAATATGGTTAGGCCTATTCTATATTTAAAAATTATTGATTCTCTAATTCAGTTAGCCATGCTGAAGTTCCCATTTTGTTCAACTTCCAGGATGCCTTTCTTTTAAGATTTCATCTTCTAAATCTCTTCAATAGTTACTGATAGTAGCCTATGGGTGATATGCACATGAAATACTGTTAAAATGAAAGCAAACGAACCATGAGAGACTATGGACTCCGAGAAACAAACTGAGGGCTTTAGAGGGGTAAGGGGTGGGGATGGGTTCACCCAATGATGGATATTAAGGAGGGCACGTACTGCATGGAGAACTGAGTGTATATGCAAACAATGAATCATGGAACCCTACATCAAAAACTAATGATGTACTGTATGGTGACTAACATAACATAATAAAATTAAAAAAAAAATGAAAGCAAAGAAACAGGGGCACCTGGGTGACTCAGTTGGTGAAGCATCTGCCTTTGGCTCAGGTCATTATCTCAGGGTCCTGGGATCCAGCCTTGCATAGGGCTCTCTGCTCAGCAGGGGGTCTGCTTCTCCCTCTCACTCTCCCTCTGAGCGTGCTCTCTCTCTCTCTCTCTCAAATAAATAGATGAAAATCTTTAAAAAAGTAAATCAAGTAAACAAACAACTAATGCCCATTATAGAATGTATGCATAACTGATAGTCACGCTTTATGTTACAGATGTTTTCTACCTCCTGCTTAAACCTGTATTCTTCCTAAGTTTGTATGCCACGTTGCACATAAGAACATGCCTCCTATTTAAAAGTCAGATGGAAATTTAAAACAAACAAAAAATAGTGACATAAAAAGACATATTTTACACCAAAAATATACTGCATCTATACTATGTAACACTGGGTTGGGCTCATTTCTAGTCTGTTGTTAGGACACTAGCAAATTATGAGTATATATGGCACAAAATGTATGTTAACCAGTATATTTGGGAGTCATATGGTAATTAAATATTTCTAGGTCCCTACCAGATGCATAGCTGGGACATGGGTTTTACTTATAATTTATGTAATTCACATGATCTTACAGTTGGAAAGAATTTTAGAGATAATCTAGTCAGCCAAAGACTTTTGGCTTTCATCCACGTGGAGATAAAAATGGGGTTTTGAGGAGGACCTAGACAATTTTTTTAATGTGCTGGATTTTTTTCTTGATATTAAAAATACTATCTTCTTATTTAAGAATTGTTTAAAAAACCATAAAAATTGAAAGGAAAGTAAAAATTGCTTAAATTTGTAGCTTTCTGATACAACAACTTAACCTTATCATGAATTTCTTTCTTGTCTTTAGTTTTACATATTCTGTTCATTTTGCCTGATTAATTTTATGCTTTTAAAATTATTTTGTATCTTTTATATTATCACACATTATCATTAACTAAAGTCCATAGTTTATTCATATTTCATTAGTCTTCCCCAAGTGTGCTTTTTCTGTTCTAGTATGTCATCAAGGATAACATGTTCCATTTAGTTGTCTTGTCTCCTTGGGTTCCTTTTGGCTGTGACAGTTTCTCAGACTGTTTTTGTTTCTGATAACCTTGAAAGTTTTGAGGAATACTGTTCAGGTATATTGTAGAATGTCCCTCTATTGGTATTTATCTGGTGGTTTTCTCTTGACTAACCTGGGGTTATAGGTTTGGGGAGGAAGATCACGAGGTAAAGCACCTTTTTGTCACATCATATCAAGGGTATATATTTTCTATATGACTTATGAATTTGATGTTGACCTTGATCACCTGGCTGATACAGCATTTGTCAGAGTACTCCACTGTAAAGTTACTCCCTGCCCCGTTTCCATACCATACTCTTTGGAAGGAAGGTGCTATGTGCAACCCACGTTTAAGGAGTGGGGAGATATGTTCCCCCTCCTTTAGAGCAGAGTTTCTACATAATTTATTTGGAATTCTTCTGCATAGGAGATTTATCTCTTCTCCATCATTTATTAATTTATTCAATCATTTATTTATATCAGTATGGACAGCATGGATATTTTATACTTTGACTTATAATCCAATTCTACTTTATTTTGTTGCTCAAATTGCTTCAGCTTTGGCCATTGGAAGCTCTTTCTATTGACTTCTGTGTCATTTTTTTTTTATTATGTTAGTCACCATACATTACATCATTTAGTCTTTGAGGTAGTGTTCCATGATTCATTGTTTGCGTATAACACCCAGTGCTCCCTTCAGTACGTGCCCTCTTTAATACCCATCACCAGGCTAACCCATCCCCCACCCCCCTCCCCTCTAGAACCCTCAGTTTGTTTCCAGGAGTCCATAGTCTCTCATGGTTCATCTCCCCCTCCAATTCCTCCTTTCATTTTTCCCTTCCTGCTATCTTCTTTTTTTTTTTTAACATGTAATGTATTATTTGTTTCAGAGGTACAGGTCTGTGATTCAACAGTCTTACACAATTCACAGCACTCACCATAGCACATACCACAGTGATGGTGGGTAACTTTTCTTGAGCGCTTCTTACTTTCTGGCACTGTAAATTGCTGCAGACTCGTGTTGTGTATCTCATGCCCTGGTTTGAGAATCAGTCATTTCTCTAAGAAGCCCTGGTTCCTTTTATTGGAGAAAGGTATTAGAAAGCCAGATCTGAGTGACACCTGGGTGGCTTTGTCAGTTAAGCATCTGCCTTCGGCTCAGGTCATGATCCCAGGGTCCTGGGATCGAGTCCTGCATTGGGCTCCCTGCTCAGCGGGGAGTCTGCTTCTCCCTTTGACCTCTCTCCCTGCTTGTACTCTATCTCTCTCTCTGTCTCTGTCAAATAAATAAATAAAATTTAAAAAAAAAAGAAAGAAAGATCTGGATACAAAATGTGCTCTTTGCTCGTAAGGCATTATTTATTTTAGGGCCTCTTACCTGACAAAATGAAGAAATATATGTGTGTACTAGCCTGTATACATACATATCTATAAATATTTCTATGTCTAGTTGTCTGTATATTCAGCTAAACATGAGTTCTTACTACTGTCTGCAACTATTTCCGCATGGATCATTCCAGCCTCATTCCTTGTCGATGTGTATATTCCCACCCCAACTATGAGTAACCTTGACCTGACCATCCGCCATCCATTTACTTATTGTTCAATTCCAGTGTATATGTACAACAGTATCAGAATTCTTTCTTTTTTTTTTTAGTGATGTTTTAGAAATGACTTTTATTCAGTGGGAAAATGTTCATGGTCAAATGCTAAGAGAAAAGGCAGGATATAAAATTTTATATACAATAATATCTTTTTTTATTATGTTATGTTAATCACCATACATTACATCATTAGTTTTTGATGTAATGTTCCATAATTCATTGTTTGCATATGCAAACGAATATCAGAATTCTTAACTGATAATACCATGGGAAACATCTTTATCAATAGGGTATAGTACTTACATGCAGCTCTTTTTGCCTTATTTTTACAGATTCCATTCATTTCCAAAATTACTTAGGTAATTTTTCCTCCACCCTATTCAGTGAGGTTTTTCCATACATTTGTAATATGATTAAATTCTTTCTGTAGTTTTTCCCAGTATCTCTCAAATTACTCAGTTATCTTACAGAATCTTCTTACATCAAGACTCAAGCTTTATGTTGTACATTTCTGCATTTTTTGACAAATGCACATGTTTATCCACCATTGTGGTATCATTCACAACAATTGTTTGATAACCTTAAAAATCCCCTGTGCTTCATTTATTCATCCCTCCCTCTTTCCCTAGAATTCCAGGCAGTCATTGATCTTTCTACTATCTCTGTAGTTTTGCCTTTTCCAGAATGTCATATCATTGGAATCATACAGCATGTAGTCTTTCAAACTGGCTTCTTTAGCATATCAATGTGCATTGAAGTTTCCTTCATGTCTGTTCATGGCTCATTTCTTTTTAGTACTTTAGAATAAAGTCCCATTGTATGAAGGTATCACAGTTTATCCATTCACCTATCAAAGGACATCTTAGTTGTTTCAAGTTTTTAGTTATTAAGAATAAAGCTTTTATAAATATTTATGTGAAGGTTTTTGTGTAGACATAAGTTTTCAACTCAGCTGGGTAAATACCTAGGAGTGTGAATGTATGGTAAGATTATGCTTAGCTTTATGAAAAAAAACAAAACAAAACAAAACAAAACAAAACTGCCAAGCTGTCTTCCAAAGTGGCTGTGAGATTTTGCATTCCCAGCAGCAACAAACGTAAGTTCTTATTGCTCCATATCCTCACAATCATTTGATATTGTCAGTTTTTTGGATTTTATCCATTCAGATTGGTTTGTAGTGGCATCGCATTGTTGTTTTAATTTGTTGTTCCTGATGACATATAATGTGGAGCATCTTTTCATATGTGTCTTTGCCATTTGTATATCTTTGTGTCTGTTTACATCGTTTGCTCATTTATTAATTGAGGGTTTTTTTAATTGTTGAGTTTTAAGAGTTTTTTGTGTATTTTGGATGCAAGTCCTTTATCAAGTATGTGTTTTGCCAATATTCTCTTTCAAGTTGTGGCTTGTATTTTTTTTTTCTTTTAACATTTTCTTT